TGTGTGTGTGTGTGTGTGTGTATGTATGTGTGTCACTTGTAGTGATGTGTGTGTGTGTGTGTGTCACTTGTAGTGGTGTGTGTGTGTGTGTGTGTGTATGTGTGTCACTTGTAGTGATGTGTGTGTGTGTGTCACTTGTAGTGGTGTGTGTGGGGCCTATGACAATAATCATTGTTGTGATTGCTTCAAGGCAAAGAGGCCAAATGTTGTACGTCTTCCCGAGCTTGGTGCATACAAAAATACTGATTGTGTTGGTATGTTTGTGTGTTTGTATGTTATGAAGGGAAGTATGTCATGCAAGTGAGCAATGTTCTCCGACTGCCTTACATTTTTGAATGCTGTTTTACCTCCATTCTGTTGTTGTCCTGATGTTTGGGAAGTGTCTGTGGTGACGGGCTGTGTGACGGGCTGTGGTTTTGTAAGATTTTTGTACATTCCAACTTCTGGAGTTTGAACTTTCAATTGTTTCCTGGTAGTAGAAAGGATCTGAGGTGGTTATTTTAAGTCAACCTGGGTCGATCTCAAGCAGCTGTGGTGTTGTAATGTTCACTATTGCATGTATAAGGGATGTGTTCCAATCCCAATGAGGGAAGTCCACTTTATTGAGGATCTCCATCTTTTTGTTTGATTTCTGTATCACACTCATCTCCGAGTAGCAGCAAAAAGTAGGGTAACACAGCCGGCCTCTTAAATGATCTGTGTTGTATGATGGGTGGTAGAATATTACCTATCACAGTATTGTTATAGTCTGAAAGGGAAGATAGAGAACCAAATTTGAATGACGCAACAAAAGTACACGGTCCATTGTGTTTATTGACATTGTTCTTTAATCATTGTTTGATGATAGTCTCATAATTGATGCTATGTCATAAACTGTGTACAAAAAGAACGATGAAGATGTGGAATAGCATAGCAAAGCAAATATATTTTTAAAATTGTATTCTATTAACCAATAACATATCATCACTTTAATCATTGTTTAAAATGTTCCGTCAGTAAGTGTACTACTTACATAGTACATTTCAATAAGTACCACCTTAATGAATTTCTGTTTTTCTGTGCATATGGTTTGACTCTGTGGTTTGTATGGGACGGAAATTTTGAATGTCACAAGATGCAGTACGATAATTTACCTTGATTTTCTATTATCCCTGAGATGAGACAGTTGTTATTCTACTGTGTCATGTTATTTACCAAGCGTGCTAGGGGCATTGTTGAAGACTGTATGGAGAAACCAATGTGAGAAATACTGATGGTTTGATGTAAAACAGTGGCGTTGCTTCAGCATTTATTGTCATGTTGTTGTTCAGATGGAGTCAGTGTACCTTCATATGTGTCACGGCGCTGTGGAATCAGGCGTGCGTCCATTTTTGGCCATGTAGAGTTATTGGTATTGGTATCGTTTTAACACTTTGCGGTCACATGGCACAATAGGCACAATAATGCACCGGTGAAAATTGTTCATTCTTTTCACCTGGCGCAGTTCTGTACCAGGCCGGAGAAGTCTGTTGCAGTCACTCTCCTGGCTGGGTGACCAGATGGAGTATATTTTGTACTGCTGGCTGTGTGATTGCAAAGCGTTAAAGCTTGTTCATTTGTTTTGCTTTTGATGAAGAAAATACCCATGTATCTTGGGTACAAGTGGAGATATTGACGATGGAAGGAGGTTGGGTCGTCTGATTTCACAGGGAAAAT